TGAAATGATTTTTTAATGGAAGAGAGGTTTATTCTTGCAAACAATTTGAGATGAAACCATTCAATATAAAGGGGGCAGGATGGCTGGGTGGGAATGGCTTGAAGCGATGTTTCCAACAGTGTGGGACTATTTACTAGAATCTCCATGGACCATGTAGGAGAGAGGGGGCAGGAAACAGAGCTCATCTCTAAACCTCAAGTTTCCTCCATCTCCGGTGCCCTACTCTTCCAGCTAGGTCCCACCTCCGAAAGCTGCCATGTCATGTATAAAGAACACCTCCACATATATGCATGTGTGTTTGTATGGATATTTAATATCCAAACTTTGACACCCTGATAATCCAAGATAAAAATCTCATCTCAAAACCCTTCATTTAATCACACCTACAAATCCTGTTTAGAATGAAGAGGACACTCATAGGTTCCAGGGATTAGAACCTGGGAGCCATTCATGTTATCACATGGAGCCTCTGGGTGAATTGGATAGCAAAGGAGCCAGTCACAAAGGCAGCCACAATCCAGAGTACCCACTGGGGCCTCCAGCAGAGGGCCTCTTCAAGTCCATAGCCATAGTTGGGTCTTGTGGTGACCCCAGGAGAGCCTGAGTACACATTCAGTGCCCAATACTTAGTGGAAACAACCAACAAACCAACAAATCACCAGCATCTACAAGACCCTTCCAGTGGTCATTCAGCCCTGAAACTCTCAATACTTATTAATCCCCTACTGTATGTAATTGCTGTTCTAAACAGTTGGGATCCATCAATGTGCAAAACAGAGAAGTTATCCCTCTTAGATAACAAACACTCCATTGGTATCAAGAGGCAGTCATTAAATCAAATGAGAGCAGTCATGTGTTATACTGTGAGGTAACAAAGTATGGACAAAAGGGATAGCAGTGCAGAGGAAGGCAAGTGTGCTTTTTATGGGGTAGGATAGGTGAGGGTATTAAAAGGACTGATCACAGAAGCTGTGCATGGTGCTTCTTACCTTCAATCCCAACACTCAGGAGGCAGAGGCAATAGATCTGTGAGTTCAAGGCCAGCCTGGTCTGCATAATGAGTTCCAGGCCAGGCAGCTACAGAGAGAGACAGAGACAGAGACAGAGATAAAGAGATATAGAGACTCAGAGACAGAGAGCCCAGAGTGAGATTTGAAGAAATATATAGGAACTGAACTAGGGAATGGAGCATGGTGCCACAGGAAGTTAAAATGCTCCATGGATCATTGAATTAGCTCCTGGATTGCTGTGAGCCTTGCTTCTTTTCTAGCATTCTGAGGTACCCAGATATTATCATGGTCTTTAATTTCTCATGTTCACCAATGCCACTCCACAACCATATTCCTTTGTGTACCCTGGAGAGTGTGTACTAGATGGCACTTAGCATAAATTAAAACTCACATTGTTCCCTGGTTTTAGAATATTGTCTGGTCTTCAAGTGATTGATAGGAGGAATGAGAAGCTTGTATCATTGGAAGATTATCTTATTGTATTCTGTTGCCATTAGCACACTGCAACTGTTCGATTTTCCATTTCTTCCCTGCTTTTTGTTGACTCAGTCCTTTTAATGAGGACACTCCAGCAGCCACTTGGTCTAGCCTTCAGAGCATAGCCATACATATAAGCCTGTTGTGTAAGCTAAGCAGTGTTCTCTCAGGAAGCCATGGCCCAGAGCACCAGTGACTAACAGTAACTCTGTCATGCTTGGTACTATGAAAGAGAATTGGCTTAGAAAAGAAACTACAGGATGTTCATGTGAAGTTAAGTGAGAGGAAATGGATGCTCCATGAAAAATCACAAGAAGAACTGGGGTTAATTTTGTGTGTGCTGTGGATTCACCTGGTATAATCTGTCCTGATGTTCTTGCAGATATAGCCCAGGTGGGAGACACAGATGTTGAACAACAGCAGAACATCAACAGTAAAGAGAGCTTTCCTAGAAAGTAACAGCATGCCCTACTGGAATCGATAGGAAAGGATCCAGGACACAGCCAGATTGTACCTTCTGCTTGGCAGGCTGAAGCAGTGGGGAATGTATAGTGAGGTGAAGATTTGCATGGAGATTTGTGTACTACTCCTTCCAGGCATAATTGTACAGAGGTGTAGAAACAATGACACCAATCTCCACTGCCAGTTAAAGTAATCTTTGAAAGTCATTAAGAGTCTGTAGTCGATCTCTCCTAATTTGCACCCTTTGGGGTCTAATTTTTTTGTAGCTCTATTTTATATCCTAAATAATTAATAGAAACTCCTCTTTGTACCTATCCAGGAGCTATTTGTAATCCCCAGTGAGGCAAAATTTTCTTTACTTTTTCAAACATTCTTTCTAACACATCTGCATTTGAGTCAACTAGTAAAATATCCATATAATGATAAATTATATAAATATATATAAATTATACATTTAGGAAATTTTTTACATATCACTTCCAATGGCTGTTATACAAAATATTGGCACAGGGTTGGACTATTCAACATTCTCTGTGAGAGGACCCTCCATTGATATCTTTTAACCAGTTGAGAATTATTGTAAGTAGGCACCGTGAAGGCAAATCTTTCTCTCTCTTTTTCTTGTAAGGGTATTGAAAAGAAACAGTCTTTTAAATCAATAGTGTGTGGTGAGCAAGATGACTTCAATGTGCAGAACCAGCAATCTCCACATTTCCTGAGTCAGAGTTCCAGGAACACTGTGGACATCTTTGTTTGCAAAGGATCAAGTTGAGGGGCAGCCCGAAGTCTGTCCCATTTCAGTTTCTAAAAAGCACTGACATGTATCCCTTCTCTGTTGTATCCTTTCCATTTAGTTTGCTTCCAATAATTAAATCTAAGACATTTGATAGAAAAAAAAAACAAACAAAAGGAAAAGCCAAAATATAAGTATACCACAAAGTATTTAGATATAGCGAAGTGTTGTAGCAGAATTACTCTGTATTTTTTAGACAAGTTCCTATTGTATGTCCTAGGCAGGCCTTGAAGTAAAACTCCTCCTGCTTCCACAACCCATTCCCTAGGACACTAGGATTAAAGGTGTGAGCTACCACACCCAGCTAAACAGGAACTCAGGAAACCTTATTTTGCAGATTTGATTATGGATACTGGTCATAGATTTAATACAATCTTCCATCCATTTAGAATACTGCTATTTATAGGAGCTCCCCTACAGCAAGCATTATGTGGGCTCACCTACAAAAGCAACATGGGAGGAAGTGGGCATGGTCTTTAGAGAGTATATAAGGACAATCTAGGGGCCAGCCAGGTTCATTCCTCTCTAGACCAGACAGAGTGTGTTTCTGTAACTTCTGGCTCCTAGACTACTAGATCTATCACCACCATACATTGAGTATCATACCCCAGAGCTGAGCTAATATTGTATCTCCACTAAAAAGTGCTGAGGCCAGAGACAACTCCTTGGGTGAGTACCCAATTTACAGGTGCAATGTCATTGATATTTCCTAATTTTAATTTATTACCAAACTAAGGTTTCTGCTTAAAAATGCTTAATATTTTGCTATTTATCAAAAGAGATTCTACTCCCATTTGGTCATCTTTCTTCATAAATATACTGTGAATTGCAGCTGTATATAATTTTAGTTTATACATATACAGTCTTTCATTGCTCTGAAGTTCTACTACTCAATTTTGATGTTTCTCTAAATTCTAAAACATTTTTAGAGTGTTTCTGATGTACTTCATACATGCAACATGGACATCTCTAAATTATTGTACACATATAATATATAAAAATAAATACTCTGAATGGGTTGAAAATTACTAGTGTTTAGAGATTTGTTATATAAATACTATGTATAAAGTGAAAACTCATGATTTATCAAAGGAAAATATTTTAGTATTTTTCTGTTGTAAACTTTAGGAAGATATTATTACTGTGTGAAGTAATGTGTAGTCATAGTTTACCATCTTGGTTATTCCTGCTTTTGACTGATTTACTAGGTTAGAAGTATACATGTGATTAAATTAGAGAAAACTAGTCACAATATTCTATTCATGAAAGTAGATTCTAGTTAAAATCAGGTGCAATTTTTCAGTTCTTTGTTCACTTTTCATTATCTCTGTGTATTTATTACATTGGAATTAAGTATCTAATGTATAGAAAAAGTAGGGAAGGAGGGCCATCAGGTAAGTTAAAGAAGGAAGCATTGGAGTCTCCATCTCTTTTCTAAACTAACCTTCACAATGAGTATTAGTGTTGTATTTGAAGTATACAGGACCACCAGCTAAAGCCATTGATTCCATTTACTTCAGACACCAGAAGCTTAAGTTATTTGGAGGATATTTACCTCAATCAAACCAAGATTCTTCATTTGTGTAGATATTGAAAGAGAAGGGCAATGGGCACCTGTTGATTAAATAGCCAAATCTCCAGTAGTCATGAGAGCCTCGTTTATGCCTCAAGGATTCATCCCTCAAACTCAACCCAGGAATTGTTATCTTTAGTAAACAAACAAGTTTCCCCAGAGAGTACCCTAGTATGCGACTATATGGGATTTAAGAAACACAAGGAAACTTCTGTAGATATCTGTGAAGGATTATTAGAGGTAGATTTATTACACTTGGAAAGAACTACACTAATTGCTAATGAGATCACTTGAACATTCCATGGTTTGAGGTCTCAAACTGAAGGAAAAAAGAGAAAAAAACAGGAGCTGAGCAGCAAGTGTTCCTTGTTTCCTGCTTCCTGATTTTGAATGCCTTGAGAGCACCTACCTAAACCTCCTACCACCATTTCTACCCCACAATGATGGACAATATTCTTGAATTATGAGCCAAAATAATTCTTATTCTTGTTAGATATTTTTCGCTGAAAGAAGACAAGTAACTAATATTGCCTTCAAGTGTCAAGGAGTCGGACAGTAGTATGTGAACCATTAAGACACTAAGCTCAGAAATCAAGCAAAGGATTTACTTGGGACCATGTGAAGTGGGGAGTTTTTTCTTGGAAAGACAACAAAGAATCATGTTTAACCTACCTATGTCAGTAGCGAAAGGCCAACATATGGACTTGAAGGAGTTTGATCTCTCCACAGTGTAAAATTTTTTCATACTCACTGAGAGAGCATGTCTCAGATCATGAACCAAGGTACTAATTTGGATGGAGTCTCCAGAAATGATGCAGGTGGTAGGGCACAGAAGGTCATTAGATCAATCTATACTTCTGTCAAGAAGAGTGAAAAAGGAAAGATTAGCAACTACAATTCTATACTAATACTGACTTTTGGTCACCAAAAGATAAAGCTTGTTTTGCCATACACAGAATTAAATCACAAGTTGAAGGAAATTTTTTGCAGTCTCTTGCTTCTCTGGGGTCCAATAATAGCAATTCTGTTTTCTTCCTTCAGAAAAATGGAGTCAGACATCTCACAAGACTTCCAGAAAAAAACTGCTTCATCTCCCTGAGCTGCCTGACAGACCCAGTCACCATAAGCTGTGGCCACAGCTTCTGTCGAGCCTGCCTCCACCTTTCCTGGGAAGACATCCAACTTCCTGTCCAATGCCCTATGTGCGGGGAACCATCCCAGAAGAAGGGCTTGAGAACCAACATTGTTCTGAAGAAGCTTGTGTCCATTACCAGAAAAGCCAGCCTATTGAAGGACCTGAGCTCTGAGGAGCATAAGTGTGTGACCCACGAGGATCCTAAGAGGATCTTCTGTGCTGAGAATAGGACCTTCCTCTGTCAACTCTGCTCTAACTCCCATGAGCACAGAGGACACAGACACTGTCCCATTGAAGCAGCTGCTGAGGATCAAATGGTAAGTGATGCTTCTGAGAGAACTTGCAAGCTGGAGAGAGGTAGGCTTAGCAAACCAGAGGAAGATGCTGGTCCTCATTATGACAAAGGCACTGTTTTCAGAATGATGGTACTTTATTAACATCTAATGAAGAAAGGGTGACTAGGAATGTAAACATCCGTTGGGGGACCCATGAGTATAAAGATCATTTGTATTTTATGATACATTATGCCCAGGTCACTGGAAAGTGCAAAACTGAATTCATATCTTTTAAAAGTGTCTATGACTGGGAAATATTAGGAAAAATACTTTGTAGTCAGGTACAACCAAACATCTGGGAATCCCAATCCTATGCAAATTACCAAGACATTAATCAAAATTATTAATCACTATACCTGAGCGAAGAGGTATGCTATATTTTCTATTTCTATATACTGAAATATAAAATTCAAGTTACAAATATAAAAAAGAAGGAATATTGTGATCCTTCTACTCTCATTAAAGTATTTGTATTAATTGCCCAAGAGTCTGTTTATCAGTACTGTTTATCAAAAGTTGATATTCATTGTGTTTTATAGGACAGACTTACAAAGCAAATGGCATCTTTATGGGAGAAGAATCAGGAAAATCCAGAGAATATAAAGACAGTTTTAAACTTTGTTAATATATTAATGGTCATATAGAGTACTAACTAATTCTAGAAAAAAGGCTTCAATTAGCTGCCTATATATGTCTTTGTGTTCGAGTCTCTTATCAGTTTTCTGCAGGAAATCACGGCCAGGCTTAACATTAACTGAAGTCTCAAGGAAGAAGATGGGGCCCCACAACAACAATAATTCTACGCGGACAATAATAATATCACTAAGCTGACAAACATCATCTACAGATCAACTTTGGACTACAAAGTGCTCAGAGCAATTTTAAGAGGGCTAGCTGAGATGATCCAGTTTCAAAGACTACTTGAATAAGGACTTGAGATAAACCCTGAATTTTGGCATTATGCACAGACTGGATAACAAAGGATATAGCTACCTTTCCTAGAATTTGACGATTAACCCAAATTTTTTCTTTTCAGAATAAATAACATATAATGCAATTTGCTGGTCCTTGAATGTTATTATTACCATCTATTAGGATATAAAGAAATGAAAGTTAGTAGTTAGATATTGCAATAGAACTTGTAGTCATATTAGGTGTGTTTTCAAGATCAAGCAGCTATATTCTAGACAGAAAGGTCATCTTCAAATCCTTCAGAGATCTACAGAATATGGCATTTAAAATGTTCTAATAACTTAGAAAATTTTTCTTTTTTGTTATGACTATGAGACATGTCGGCTTCTGGCAGTACCAATCTACTTCAGAGAAAATTTTGTTGGAGCCATGTTAATCTGAGTATTCCATTGTTGCAACAGGTCTCAATCCCACAGGTTCATAGCTATGTTAGCCACATATGGTTTTAATTTTCCTCTCTGTCCTTCTGGACCTATACATTCAAGCCATCTTGCACTCTGTTTCACTTGAGATAATATTCCAATTCCTAACAGTTGAATGCTTACCTCCTGAAGAGGCCAAGTTGGATGACAAAATTCTGGTGCAATTATGGTAATGTCAGCACCTGTGTCTACCAGACCAGACAGCAAAACACCATTTATTTTTGTTAATTTAGGTCTGTGTTCATTTATAGAAGTTTGCCAAAAAAAAATTTTTTATCATTTCTCCTGAATTTTCTGTTCTCTCTGTCTCAGCTGTTTCATCATCCTGAGAAGCCTGATTTATTCCATTAGGCATTTGGTCATTTAATTGCTCTGAGTAGGGGTTTCCTCTAAGACTGCAGGAAAGGTCTGGATTTGCTGTGGGAGCCTGCCTGAGGCCCCTCTGGAAGTTTCCCAAAGTATTACGTTGCCAGTTCCTTATTGATCTACGCTCATTGGTTCAGTGTTTTTCCTTACCACACCTTCTGCATACTCCAGAAGGAAGGGGCATTCTGTTGCATTTGTTCCTTGAAGAAACATTGTTTCTAGGAATGTCCTGTTTATAGTCCCTTTGTAAATGTCCTTGCTTTCCACTTCTAAAACCTCAAAACTTTTGAAATTGCTTCTCCTATCCACAAGTCATCATGGTCATGAGCCTCAACATTAACCCTGTCTCTAATCCAATCTTCCAAGGGTACAGATCTTGCCATTAATGGCCTGATTATTCTCTTGCATGCTTCATTCGAGTTCTCAAAAGCCAAAGATTCAATTATCATCTGACTAGCTTCTGAATTCGGGACCATTCTCTTTACTGCTGAAGTCAGTCTTTGTAAGAAATCTGTGAAAGATTCTTTTAGGCCCTGTATAACCTTTGTAAATGATTCAGTTTTCTTTCCTGGTTCCTCAACTCTGTCCCATCCATTCAAGGCTGCCATTCAACATAGAATTAGGGTTTGGTTATCATATAAACATTGTGTTTGTATTGCAGCATATTGGCCTTTTCAAACAAGATGATCCTGGAAGATTTGTATATCTTTAGCCCTCCATCAAATTTCTATGCTTTTAGCTTCCTCTTTGAACCACATTTCCCACTGCAGCTGTGCCCGTTTTGCAGAACAGCATTTACCACCTCTCGCCGGTCCTGTGGTATAATCTTATTACAAGTTGACCAGGAGTTTAACATTTGCTTTACAAATGGGGAATGCATGCCATAAGATACTATTGCCTCCTTAAACCTTTGTAAATCTAACATTTCAATTGGAGTCCAAATATTTAGTGCATTCACTTGACCAGGTACCTGCTGTACGATTACTGGATAAATTAAGGGTGATTGTGTGAAAACAGGATTTCTTTCTGTAACCTTATAATCCAATCCTGAAACAATTTTACCATTAAATTCTTCTATCTGAATCTGAATTTCTCTGTAATTCATTTTAACAGGTTTTTCTAAAGCTTTTATCCTGGCACTTAAATTGACTATCTTTTTAAATAATAAAATAAGGATAAGGAAAGTAATAATGTGCATAATCCCATCAACATTAATCTTCTCATATAGTTGTTCCATTTTCAGATTATCTAAAATTTTATTAAACGAAGCCCAGTTTTCTTCCAGTGTACACATAATAACCTTTTTTCATGTGAAAAAAATTTTAAATTGTTTTCTCCTTTAAAATATCTGATATCTTAATTGGCATACCAAATCTGCATAGAACAGTAGAAATCTGAGGGAATTTCAAAACAGTTACCTAGCATCCAAAGTGGGAATCCAAAGAGAGAGAGAGAGAGGGAGAGAGAGAGAGAGAGAGAGAGAGAGAGAGAGAGAGAGAGAGAAGAATAGAAAAGAAAGAAAGAAAGAAAGAAAGAAAGAAAGAAAGAAAGAAAGAAAGAAAGAAAGAAAGAAAGAAAAAGAAAGAAAGAGTAGCCACAAGTTCTGGCTAAAAGCTTAAATCCAATCACATGTTCCTGCTTTAGCTGAGTCAAGTCTGGGCTCTGGCTTCCTTAAGCTCTGACCACATGTGTTGGCGTTTTGGCCTCAAGCAGCTATATCCACAGTTGCATGTAGCTGTTGTAATTACAGTCGAGTGCAGCTGACCAGTAGCTCTGGCAGGCCTGAGTTGTGTGTAGCACCAGCATTAAGCAAGTAGCTCCAGTTGTGGTAACTGCTTGTAGCTATGGTCGGTCAGGCCTGGGGCCTAGGCCAAGCTGGCTCGAGATGGGGAACCGGGCCCACCAAGGCCTCCAAGCCCAGCCAAGCCAAGCCAAGCTGAGCGGTTTTTAATGAAACCTTGCCACATGGGTGCCAAATGTAGATGTAACAGTCTTATTATTAAATAAGAAACATAGAGCCAAATGCAGAGTTAAAAGCCCAAGAGGTCAGAGCAGCAGCCAAGAGCTAAGACCAAGACCATCTTCTTACCCCTCGCTGTCGCTGTCATCCTTCCCCTCACAAAGAGACCTTCTTCCTGTGTATCTATCTTTTTATTGACTTTCTGTTCTGCCTTCTCATTGGTTGTAAACCCAACCATATGACCTCCTCATCACTGCCTGTCTAAACAGACCTCCAGGTCTTCTATGGTTGGTATTGAGATTAAAGGTATGTGTCTCCATGCTGGCTGTATCCTTGAACAGACAGATATCTGCCTGTCATGTGATCTGGATTAAGGGCGTGTGCTACCACTGCCAGACTTCTGCTATGGCTTGCTATTAGCTCTGACCTCCCAGGCAACTTTATTTATTAACATACAAATAAAATCACATTTCAGCACAAATAAAATATCACTATAGATGTTCATTCAGCATTGTATCACGGTTATTCACATCAATGGGGTACTGATTTTATTCAGAGTGCTGATCATATCATCCAGTGTCATGTGGTAAGCACTGATCACCACTGTTGGGTGCATCTGCTGCTCTAGAAAGTGCTCAGCCACAGAGAGCATTTCTCCTCTAAGAATAATTACTGATGTGGTTCCATCTCCAACCTCTTTATCCTGGGTCCTGCTAATTTCAATCATGGAATTGGCTGCTGGATGCTGGACTTGAATCTCTCAAAGAATGGCACTGCCATCATTGGTCATCACCATGCCTCCCATTGGGTCCAAAAGCATCTTCATCATAGATTTAGGTCCCAAACATGTCTAGATGATATCTGCAATTTTCTTAGTAGCATTGATATTTCCAGATTGAACTTTTCTTCCAGACTCACACTTTGTATTTTGACTGAGCACAAACAATGGATTTTGGTCCATCATGTTGGCATGATACAGAGTCCAGTACCCAGAGATGGGGGATCAGGAAGAACCTTCTGGAGGGAAAGAACTGTGAAGAAAACCTCATTATTTGTTTGTTTGTTTTTCCATACTTACTAGAAGTACTAATTTAGTTATTAAGCTTAGAGTATAAAAAAGACTAGTCTTAGGAACTAAGGGTCTAGGTTAGAGTTAGAAAGCTCTTTTAAGTATGCTAAGGACCCTCACTTGGATCTAGCATCATAAAAATATGATCTAGCTGTGGAATTTCTTTTAATGCCATCAAGCAGGAGCACAGATATGTATTGTGCTGGCTAATTTAATGTAAACTTGACATGGGCTATTTTTATTTTTTGAGACACAGTTTCTCTGTGTAGCCTTGGCTCTCCTCTACACATCCCAAGTACTTTGATTAAATTTGTATACCACCAACACTTGAAAAAAAACTCTTTCTCTTTCTCTTTTTTTCTTTCTCCTGTTTTTCTTCTTTCTTTCTTCCTTTCATTTTTTCTTGCTTGCTTTTATTTGTTATTTGATACAAGGTATTTTTGTGTAGCTTTGTAAGTTCTGGATCAGGCTATAAACCAGGGTGTTCTTGAATTCACAGATATCTCCCTGTCTCTGCTTTCCCAGTGCTGGGATTAAAGGCTAATGTCACCACCACAAGAAAGATCCCCCTCTTTTTATTTGGGTTGGTTCAAGAACAAGATTCTCTCTGTAGCCTTCTCTGTTACAGAACTTCAACTGTAGACTAGGCTGGCCTCAGACTCAAAGAGATCTGTCTACTCTGCCTCTCTGGGGCTTAGATTAAAGGAATGAAAATCCGCTGCTGGCCCACAATTCATTTTTTTATTAAGAAAATTTTTCATTCATTTTACACACCAATCAAAGATCCTGCTCTTCCCTCCTCCCACACCCCAGCCTCCCCATCCTAACAAACCTACCAGTTTCCCCAAAAAGAAGGCAAGGCCTCCCATGAGGAGTCACATGCAGTAGAGTCAAATCCAATCCCTTGCCCCTGATTCAAGATTGCCAAAGGTGTTGCATCATAGATAGTGGGCTCCAAAAAGCCTGCTCATGCACCAGAAATGGATTCTGATCCTACTACCAGGGTTCACCCCCAAACAGATCAAGCTTCACAACTGTCTAGCCATGCAGAGGGACTACTCTAGTCCCATGCAGGCTCCATGGTTATTGATGCAGCATTCATGAGTTCCCACTAGTTTGGTTTAGTCATTTCTAAAGGTTTCTCCATCATGATCCTGATGCACTTGCTCGTAGAATCCCATATCTCTCTCTTTGGCTGGACTCCTAGAGCTCAGCCTGGTGTTTGTCTGTGGATCTCTGCATCTGCTTCTATCAGGCATTGGAGAGAAGCTCTGCGATGATGTGAGGGTATTCACTGGTGTGATCACTGGGGTAAGCTAGTTCAGTTCAGGCACCCTCTCCACTATTTCTAGCAGTCCAAGCTGGGTTCATCCTTGGGGATTCCTGGCAACTTCCCAAGGACCAGGTTTCTCACTATACCCATGATATATCTCTCTATTGTGGTATCTCTTTCCTTGCTTTCCCCATCCATCCCTGTTCTAGCTCAATGATCCCATTCCCTTATGTTATCATTCCCTATCCCCTACCCTCCATTGCCCACCCCTCATACCCCGTTTACTCATGGAGATCTGATCTATTTCCCCTTCCCAGGGTGATCCATGCATCTCTCTTTGGGTTTTCCTTACTAGCTAGCTTCTCTGGAGTTGTGGGTTGTTGTCTGATTACCCTTTGATTTACACCTAGAATCCACTTATGTGTGGGTACATACCATGTTTGTCTTTCTGAGTCTGGGTTACCTCACTCAGGATGATATTTTCTAGTTCCATCCATTTGCCTGTAAATTTCATGATGGCATTGTTTTTCTCTGCTGAGTAGTACTCCATTGTGTATGTGTACCACAATTGCTTAATCCATTCTTAGGTTGAGGGGCATCTAGGTTGTTGCCAGGCCACCAATTCTTTAGAGATCTTGAAAGGACAATCATCAGATTCATATGGAAATAAAAAACAAACAAAACCAAATACAAGAACCAAAAAAAAAAGGCAAAAAACTCATGAAAACCAAAACAATCATGAACAATAAAAGAACTGTTGGATATATCACTATCATTGTTTGCAAATTGTATTACAGAGCTATAGTAATAAAAAGTTTGATGTTGGCATAAAAATAGACACATTGATCAATAGAAACAAATTGAAGATCTTCACATAAATTCATAAACTCATGCAAAATGGACACCTAATTTTTCATTATTAAAAAAGCCGAAAATGCATATTAAAATGTAGACAACATCTTTAACAAATGTACCTGGTCAAACTGGATGACCTCATGTAGAAGATTCCAAATACATCAATATTTATCACACTATATAGAACTCAACTCTAAATAGATAAAATGACCTCAGCCAGATACATTGCATATGATAGAAGAGAAAGTGGAGAATGGCCTTGAACTTACTGGAAGAGGATAAGACTTTCTGGGTTTTTGTTGTTGTTTTTTTTTTTTTTTTTTTTTTTTTGAGACAGGGTTTCTCTGTATAGCTTTGCGCCTTTCCTGGATCTCGCTCTGTAGACCAGGCTGGCCTCGAACTCACAAAGATCTGCCTGTCTCTGCCTCCCGAGTGCTGGGATTAAAGGCGTGCACCACCACCGCCTGGCGACTTTCTGAACAGAACAATAATAGCACAAGTACTAAGAACAACAATTAATAAATAGGACTTCATGGAACTGAAAAGATTCTGTTTGGCATAAAATACCATCATTGGGACAAATGGAAGCCTACAGAATAAGAAAAGAAGTTGAACTACTACAAAACAAATAAAGGGCTAATATCTTAAACACATAAAGAACTAAAAAAAACTGGATATCAAGAAAACAATTAATCCAGTTAAAAATGGAGTGTAGATATGAACAGAGAAATCCCAAAGGAGGAAACACAACAAACTCCACTTCAGGATGTCTTCTTCCTGTAGCCTCCATTCCTAATACTGAGCCCACCATAGAGAAGGATTAGGGAGCTCCTCAAAAAGCTTCATTTGCACCCCAAGTTTTCCTTAAAGGAACCAAATCATCCAACTTCTTTTGCCCTGGTATTCCCAATGGCAGATTCGAAATGGCTTCAACTAGGGTTAAGGCTTTCAAGGATCTGGTGATGACTTTAGAGGCAAAGAAAATTGCCTCAGAGGAACCATGAAGCTCCATCTCCTGGTCTCCAATCAGGTAACACTTGTTACTATAGTGATTTTAATTCAAACACCAGGAAGATGCTACATAGAAGCCACAGCCTGAATGATAGAACAGGTCATGACTCCATCAATAAGATTCCTGCTAACTCCAGACAGAAATAATTTTTATCTGAACCATATTTATATTAGAAGACTCAAATACTTTACATACAGGAAATCATCACCAATCTGACAACTTCAGTTCCTTTACCCAGTATTTAATGGGTAAGTTATATGTAATATTAAAGTCTTTCTCATCATCTTTTTACACACTCCTTGGAATCTGTGTTAAGATACCCATTATGGTTCCTTGTGATCTCTAAACACTAAATACATCTCAGTGTTTACAACTTGCATGACAAAAAATACTAAGAACATTTTTCCTGCCTGTTTTCTTTGTAGTTATTCCTATCATTACTTGAACTCATAATCCATGAAACAATTTATCCTTGATATGGTTTTTTTTTTTTTGGTTTTTCGAGACAGGGTTTCTCTGTGTAGCTTTGGAGCCTGTCCTGGAACTAACTCTGTAGCCCAGGCTGGCCTTGAACTCACAGAGTTCCACCTGCCTCTGCCTCTTGAGTGCTGGGATTTAAGGTGTGCTCCACCACCACCACCAGTCGATTTGGTTTACTATTAAGCTGAACAATACATTAGATTTCAGATCAAGTAAGAGAAGACTAATCATGCATATTTACAAGAACTTAGAAAAGAATCAATCGGCCATACAGGCAGACACTCACAGAATACAACAACTGGACAAAATGTAAAAATCAAGAGATCATGGGTACTGAACACCAACAGATACATCTATATCCTTCATCAATGGCTCCAGAAATATTGTGGAAGAGGACTCAGAAAGACAGTGAGAGCCAGAATACAAGGAATTGTGCTGTGAAACAGACTCTCCTAGAAATGGCTGCATAAAGGAGACCAGAATAATAAATACGTTGATATGAATGTGGTTAATTTTGAGAGTCCAACACCTAGACAAAGAATTAGGCTCTACTAGGGACGAGCTCTGGAATGATCATCCATACACAAAGTGCTCATCCCTGCTGATGACTATTCCTTGTTGTCAATTTGACTACTTGTGAAGTTAACTAAAACCCAAGAGATAAGTATAGCAACCACCCTGAATCTAGAGAAACAAAACTAAATGAATATGGACACACATACACACACACACACACACACACACACACACACAGAGAGAGAGAGAGAGAGACAGAGAGAGAGAGAGACAGAGACAGAGAGACAGAGAGACAGAGAGACAGAGATAGAGACAGAGAGGCAGAGACAGAGAGAGAGACAGAGATGGAGAGAGACAGATAGAGACAGAGAAAAGTGGTTCAGTCTACAAGGGTGGATGTTTCAGCTGGTCTTCAGTATACTTTGGAATCCCCCACAAGAAATAGGCTCTTATACCAGTGAAGGGATGAACTTGGCAGTGAGACTGAGAGCAAGAATACAAAGAGCAAAGATGAGAGAGTTTCCTTCTTCCATGTCTTTATATCGGCTGCCACCAGCTAAGATTTAAGGTAGATTGTCACACCTCAAACATCTGAGATTAGATGGGGCTTCCCACTTCAAAAGATTCAATCAAGGAAATTCCCTCATTAGAAAAATCTAAGACTCTTGGGTCTCAGTTAATCAAAATTTTTTTTCGAAACCTGGTTTCTTTGTGTATCTTTGGAGCACATCTTTGAAAACACTTTGTAGACCAGGCTAGCCTCTAACTCACAGAGATCTGCCTGCCTCTGCCTCCAGAATGCCAGGATTGAAGGTATGTGCACCCACTGCGTGGCTTCACCATGTATTTATTTAAAAAGAAAAAAGAAAAGAACAAACAGTTGAGTGGGTAGAGTGTGGGGTGAATCTCAAAGAAATCACAGTTGAGGTGAATATGATATAAAATTATTTGAACACAATTCTAAAGAATTTTTAAGAAATTTTTAATATTGATATTTGATAACATCACAGATTGATATCATTAACTGTGAAATTACAAAAGGAAAATCAAAAATATGAGCACACCATGAAATATTTAGAAACAGTGAAATATTGTAGCAAATTATTTTAGACAAGTTCTCACTGTATATCCTAGGCAGGCCTTGAACTAAAACTCCTTCTGCTTCAGCAGCTCATCCTCTGGGACTCTATGGATTAAAGGTGTGAGCTACCACACCCAGCTAAGCAGGAACTCAGGAAACCTTGTTGTGGAGATTTGTTTGTGGATACTGGCCATAGAGTTAATTCAATCTTCCATCCATTGAGAATATTGCTATTTATAGGAGCTCAGCTACAACAAGCATTAGTAAAAGCAACATGGGAGGAAGTGGGTGTGGTCTTTAGAGAGTATATAAGGACACTCCAGGGCCCAGTCAGGTTCATTCTTCTCTACACCAGACAGATTGTGTTTCCATAGATTCTGGCTCTCAGACTGCTAGATATATCTCCTCCACACATTGAAGATCATACCCCAGAGCTGAGCTAATATTGTTGTGTTTCCACTAAACACTGCTGAGGCCAGAGTCTATTTGTGGGTAAGTAGACAATTTACAGTTGGAAAGTCATTGATATTTCCTATTTTTAATGTATTACCAAACTGAGGTTTCTGCTTAAAATTGCTTAAATTTGGCTGTTTATCAAAAGAGATTCTGCTCTTATTTGGACATCTTTCCTCATAAATACACTGTGAGTTACAGCTATAGGTAAATTTTAGTATATATATATATATATATATATATATATACAGTATATATATATATATCTTTCTTTGTTCTGATGTTCTACTTTTCAATTTTGATCTTTCTCTAAAGTTTAAAAGCATTTTAGAGCATTTCTGTATGTACTTCATATTATGCAAGATCAACACCTCTAAATTAATTTTATGGATAATATATAAAAATAATTGCTCAGATTAGATTGATAATTAGTAGTATTTAGAGATACATTCTAAAAATATTATATAAAAGTGAAAACTCATGATTTACCAAAGGAAAAAATTTTAGTATTTTTTGTTGTAAACTAGAGGAAAACATCACAGTGTGAAATAATGCTTGATAATAGTTTATATCTTGGAAGAACTGGCTATTCCTGCTATAGACAGATTTATTAGGTTGGAAGTATATGTGTGATTAAATTAGAGAAAACTAATCACAATATTGTATTCAAAAAAGTAGATTCTGGTTATAATCTGGTGCAATTTTTCAATTCTGTGTTCAGTTTTTATTATTTCTGTGAACTCATGAATTATTTTGGAATGAAGTATCTAATGTACAGAAAAAAATACCAAATGAGGTCCATCAGGTAATTTAAGGAAGGCAGCATTGGAGTCTCCATCTCTTTTCTAAACTAATCTTGACAATGAGTATTAGTATTATTATCGATTTAAATACTAAAATCATTGACTCCATTTGCTTCAGACCCCAGAAGCTTAAGTTATTTGAGGGATGTTTATCTTGGTCAAACCAAAATTCTTTATTTGTGTAGATGTTTAAAGAGAAGGACAATGGACACCTGTTGATTAGATAGCCAATTCTCAACAGTCATGAGAACCTAATTTATGCCTCATGTTCATCCCATAAACTCAAGCCAGGAGCTGTATCTTTAGTAAACAAATGTTTCCCCAGAGAGTACCTTAGTATTGGACTCAATGGGATTTAGGAAAGACATGGAAACCTCTGGGGATATCTAAAGGATTATTTGGTGTAGATTCAGTACACTTGGAAAAATCCACACTAAATGCTCAAGAGATCACTTGACCATTCCGTGGCTTGAGGTCTTAATCTGAAAAAAGAAATGGAACAGGAGCTGAGCAGCAAGTGTTCCTTGCTTTCTGCTTCCTGATTTTGGATGCCATGAGACCAGCTACCTCAAGCTCCTGCCATCATTTCTTCCCCACAATGATGAACAATATCCTTGAATTATGAGCCACCATAATTCTTATTCTCGTTACATATTTTCAACAAAAAGAAGATAAGTAACTAATATTGCCTTCAAGTGTCATGGGGCAGGACAGTGGCATGTAACACTGTTGGACACTCACATCAGAAATCAAGCAAATCATTTATAATGGACCATGTGAAATAGGGAGTGTTTTCTTGGATAGACAACAAAGAAGCATGTGTTTAACTTACCTATGTCTGTAGTGAAAGGCCAACATGTGGGCATGAAGGAATTAGATCACTCCACAGTGTATAATTTTTTTCTTAAGAATTGAGAGATCATGTCTCAGACCACGAACCAAGGTACTGACTTGGATGGAGTCTCCAAAAGTGATGCAGGTGGTGGGACGCAGAAGATCATTAGATGAATCCATGCTTCTGTCAAGAAGAGTGAAACAGGAAAGACCAGCTGTAGCTAGAGTTTTCCTGCCTGGCCCACAGTCAGGACAAATCTCTGACACCCACCAGTCCCACAGCCATTCAGACCCAACCAAGTAAACACAGAGACTTATATTGGTTACAAACTGTATGGCCGTGGCAGGCTTCTTGCTAACTGTTCTTACAGCTTAAATTAATCCATTTCCATTAATCTATACCTTGCCACATGGCTTGTGGCTTACCGGTACTTTACATCTTCCTTGTCCTGATGGTGGCTGGCAGTGTCTCCATCACCCAACTTCCTGTTCTCTCAATTCTCCTCTCTGTTAGTCCCGCCCATACTTCCTGTCTGGCCACTTACCAATCAGTGATTTATTCATTGACCAATCAGCAACACATTTGACATACAGACCATCCCACAGCAATCAGCAACTGAAATCCTATACTAATGTTGATTTTTGGTCACCCAAAAGTTTTGCCAAAAACAGAATTGAATCACAACTTGATGGAAATTTTGTGCAGTCTCTTCTTTCTTCAGGGTCCAATAATAGCAATACTGCTTTTCCTCCTTCAGAAAAATGGAGTCAGACATCTCACAAGCCTTCCAGAAAGAACTCACCTGCTTCATCTGCCTGAGCTGCCTGACAGACCCAGTCACCATAAGCTGTGGCCACAGCTTCTGTCAAGCCTGCCTCCACCTTTCCTGGGAAGACATCCAACTTCCTGTCCAATGCCCTATGTGCAGGGAACCATCCCAGAAGAAGGGCTTGAGAACCAACATTGTTCTGAAGAAGCTGGTGTCCATTGCCAGACAAACCAGCCTCATGAAGGACCTGAGCTCTGAGGAGCATAAGTGTGTGACTCATAAGGAAGCAAAGAGGATCTTCTGTGCTGAGAAGAGGATCTTCCTCTGTCAACTCTGCTCTAACTCCCATGAGCACAGAGGACACAGACACTGTCCCATTGAAGCAGCTGCTGAGGATCAAATGGTAAGTGATGCTTCTGAGAGAACTTGCAAGCTGGAGAAAGTTAGGCTTAGCAAACCACAGGAATATGCTGGTCCTCATTATGACAAAGGAACTGTTTTCAGAATGGTGGCACTTTAATAAGAGCTAATAAAGAAAGGGTGACTAGAATTGTAAATATGCCTTGACCCATGAGTGAAAAGATCATTTGTATTTTATGATACATTATGCCTAGGTCACTGGAAACAGCAATACTGAATTCATATCTTTTGAAAGTGTCTCTGCCTGGAGACTAAATTAATAAAATACATTGGAATCAGGTACATCCAAGAATCTGGGAATCCCAATCTTATTCAAATTACCCAGACATTAATCAAAATTATTAAGCAGTATACCTGAGAGAAAGGGTATGCTGTACTTTCTATTTCTATGTTCTGAAATCTAAAATTCATAGTTAAAAAAGAAAAAAATTAATATTGTGATCCTTCTAATCTCACTAAAGTAATTGTATTAATTGCCCAAGCGTCTGTCAATCAGTTATATTTTTCAAAATTGATATTCATTGTTTTTTTACAGGATAGACTTTTGAAGCAAATGGCATCTTTATGGGAGAAGATCCAAGAAAATCAAGAGAATATAGAGGCAGAGAACAGAATGATAACTCGGTGGATGGTAAGTATGAGATCCATGCTTAAAATCTGGGTGAAGCAGATATTTTTTAAAATTCATCAATTAAGATTTGAGTATAAGGCATTGGATATGATATTAGGAGTACATGTCCTGCTAGCCTCTAATTCCTAGTGTTAGTATAACTATATGTGGAATGAATGGTCTGGCTGTGGCAGAAGAGTCTGGAAATAATGAGTGAATTGCTGACAGTTCAGCACCCTGCATTAGACTCTATGACTACACCATGAATTCTAATTACTACATGCAGAATTTCATAACTTTGTGAACATATGAATTATCAATCAATACCTTTTCTTCAGGCACCTCTGCATCTCTAATATAGGTGAAAATGCTTAGTGTCTGTTTGCCTGTGTAATTAATAAAGAAGAAATAAATGAAACCAAGGAATTTACATTTTCTGAAAAGTGGGGACAGTCAATCATAGTCTATGTGCAAAGTTATAGAAGTCATTTGTGAAATGTAAGCATAGGAGGATGCAATGGAAGAGGATAAAATGTTTGCAAATATTATTGGAATGTCCCTGTTTGTTCAGGAGTACTTGACTCTTCGGGAAGAAATGATCAGGACAGAGTATAGGAAACTGCATCCACTCCTCTGTGAAGAAGAAGAGAAACACATTGAGTGTATGAGAAATAAAAGCCAATGTGTTTTAGAGAAACTCAGGACAAGTGAAGCCATGATGGTCCAAAAGAACAAAGAACTAAGAAAAATATATCAGGAGCTGATGGCAATGTCCCAGGAGCCATATGTGGTCCTGCTGCAGGTAGGCATGAAGGAGGGCAGGAAGAGGCTTTATTGTCTTAGGCACACACCGGTGATTGATATACTAAGATAGCTTTCAATGTCCCCTGTATTTACGTTAGGGGATTTCCTTTTTACAAATAATCTTGAAAGAACAAGCATGTTGAAATTGTCAGTAGATTTCCCAAGGGATATGTCCTAACTGTTGGCTTTTGTACCTTGCTTCTCTGAGAACCCAAATTCAGTGGTTGCTGTTTCCAACACTCTTTTTCCCTCTACTTGGATATTGTGCACAATTTTAAAGTGACCTATGTCTTAATATCTTATCTTTGAAAGCTGTGTTTTTGAGAGTTCTTTGGGAGGTTAGGATTTTGGAGGTTTAGATAAGGTCCTTCTCTGGTGGATGGTGGCCTGCAACTCACAGTAATGCTCAGGCCTCTAAATCTGTAATTCAGGAATTACAGGTGTGAGGCACCATGCAGAGGTGAACTTATCCATTTGAAGTACTCTTACTTAAAGTATCCCTTGCTTTGTAGCAAAGCTCAGAAAAAGTTACCTTTTCAGACAGGTGGGGGTTCAAATGCAATGTTTGTTCACTGCCCTTGTCCTTCTCAAATTTTACTCTTGCAGTCTAAATGCAACAAGAATTTGAATTCTGCTAAACTGCTTCATTGGCATTATCTTGAGACATAACTATAAGTTTTAACAGTAGATAAATGTGATGGTGACTAAAATTACCTGAACTTTAAAAACAAACTTTGTGTGCCATTTCTTAAGATATCTAATTTTTTCTTGTTTTGTTTGCAGGGTTTGGATGACGTGTTCAGAAGGTGAGTTTAGATATCAGTGCAACCCAGGATACCCTGAAATATGCTATAAAATTGATGAACCTGCCTTAGCAAAGTACAGATATACTCTATATAGAAAGTACTCAATTGTTGGTGTTTAATATGTTTGGGATTCTTCTATTTGATTTGTTATACTTATGTGTGTGAATGTACATGCACATGTGCCATTGCACAGATGTGCAAGTCAGAGGACATCTTTCAGGAGACAGTCCTCTCCTTCCACCATGGGATTGAACTCAAGTTTTTAGACTTGTGTAACAAGGGACTTATCCCCAGATCCATTTGGCTGTACTTGGAGTGAGGTTTTTCCTAATCACTGTGATAATATCTTTAGCACCAGGCAGATCAATATTTTCTTTTCCTTGCAGGAGTGAGTCAATGCAGCTGAGCATGCCTCAGACTACGAACCCAGAACTCAATGCCCTACCCATCACTGGATTGAGTGAAAGTTACAAACAGTTCCAAGGTGAGTGTCTCCACTGATAAAATGACCAAAGGTACCCTTCAATAATGAGATATCTTTTGCAAACACAAATATTTTAACTCCCCAGTAATATATCCAGGTAAGTCACATTGTAATCTTATTTAATCAGGTGGTCATCTTAAAAAACAAACAAACATAAATGAATATCAAAATCATGGTGTATGTGATACTGGCTGAAAAGAGTATCAGTTGTTCACTGAGACATAAGAAATTATAAATTAATTCAGAATGGTTTAATTCAAATTAAGTGTAGCCAGTGATGGATATATTTGAATGTTTTCCTTTAAACATTTTAGCAATTAATTTCTTACATTGCAGTTAACTCCATAGTTAAAAATACACAGGATCTAGTGATGCACACTCATAATCCCAACATCAAAAACCTAGAGAAAGGAGGACTGCCAATGAGTTTGAGTACAGTCTGGTCAACATAGTGAGTTCCATGCCAGTCAAGGATAAATAGCAAGACCCTATCACAAAAGGAACCGGAAAAGAAAAATCATAAAATAACTAAACAGACAAGGCCATGTATCATGAGCAATGAAAATGAAACAAATTGATAGGCCATGAGGCAGTGTCTAAATCCCTCTCAGAGATCTAAAAGTCAATTGAAACCTCACAGGGAAAGAGTATCAGAGGAACCAGAGGTTAAAGGAGGACAGATACATTCAGGGATCCACTTCTAGAGCATATTTAGATTCTCCTTGAGTATAAATATGCTCAGTTAGATGCAAATCAAAACACTAATAGGAAAGTTATCACTGCTTATACCTTGGTAATAACTTTTGATGTAGACACACAAGCATAGCCTTTGCTCTGGCCCTCGCTACAATACACACATCATCTTTTGCCCAGTGTAATAAAAGTCATCTGATAGAAGTAGGCTGAGGCAAGCTCCTCTACAGCACTTACAAAGTTTCATGCTACTATTCTGTTTCTTGTGGAAATCCATCACTTTGTGTATGACTCCAAGTCTTAGCCTTCACTTTTTTAAGATCAAGAAGACTCTACAGACCTCTCTCACCGGAGAAATGTAAATGGTCATTTTAACTAAAATGTTGATTCTTCCAACAGTTCACATTTTCTTTGAAAATACAATCGTATTCCATCACAAGATGAACATACTTAATGCCATGAGAAGATTTATCTTTCGACCTCACCATAATGATACTTCTGCAGTTTCTGCTGGATGCTATTTTGCTTCCTGGAGATCAAAGAACTCCTTCACCTCTGGGAAATATTACTGGGAACTGGATTTGAAGGACTCTTGGGACTGGGCTGTGGGGGTCTGTAAGGATTCCTGGTTGAGGAGTAGAAACCAACTGATTGAATATGAAGGTGCATTTCTTCTTGTGTGTGTGAAGGAGAATAGTCATTATAGTCTCCTCACCACGTGCCCAGTATTCCAGCACTATATAGAGAAGCCAATAGGTCGAGTTGGGGTGCTCCTTGATTGTGTGGATGGAAGTTTAAGTTTCCTGAATGTTGCTAAGAGTTCTCTCATATACAGGTACCCCCCTGGCACCTTTAATTATCAGGTCAAGCCTTTCTTCCTCACTGGCTACACTTGGTCATAGGAAGATGTAATCCAGTACTTTGGTATTTTGAAAGTATTTATTCTGTTACCTCATTTACTGCTATTAAATATTAAAATACTATTACATGAAAAAGATGGTTGACTATGTTTCCTTTTCATCTGTGGCTCACGTGTTATACCAAGATAACATCCTTTCA